TTTTTTTTAAAACTATAGTCCGGCCCTCCAACGGTCTGAGGGACAGTGAACTGGCCCCCTGTTTAAAAAGTTTGAGGACCCCTGGAGTAAGAGATCAACCAAAGGACTTGTATGCATGCATATGAGCATAACCAATGGACACAGATGTGGGGGGAGGGGAAGGGCATGTGCTGGGAGTTGGGGGCGGCCAGGGAGAGGTCAATGGGGAAAAAGGAGACTTATGTAATACTTTAAACAATAAAGAACTTAAATTAAAAAATAAATTAAAAATAAAATTTAAAAAATAGTGCTTTCAGTAGACTATACTTTCCTTCTTCTTCAGTCTCTGGTTTCAACTACCGGACTTGATTCACATCATAGAGTGAAAGTTGGCTCAAGTCCGACAAGGCTGCCCTGCCTGTGGCTACTGTTCCTGCTGAGCAGCTGAAACCAGCCCACCAACCCAGCTCTCTCAGACTGGCTGTCTCTACACCCACCTGCCCCAAAATATCTTCCTCTTAGGATGGCACAGAGCCTCACACCCCATCTTCCCAGCTGAACTCCTACCATTAGAACCACTCGGCTACAGCCATATGCCTTCCTCCCAGAGCCATTGTTAAAATTTCTCTGGAAACCCTATCAACCTTTCCTGTTAACACGCCAATGATTAGTTTATCATCAGATTAAGTGAACTCAGGACTTGGGTCTAGTGAATTTTGTTTGGGAGTATGAGGGTAGATCACGGACTGTTAGATGGGACAGTAAGGTGAGAAACTGTGTTGGCTATTTCATGCATTGTACAGCTGAGGAAACTGACATTCAGGTATCCAAGCCTTGACATCTTGATTATGGTTCACCAATCGCCCCCGTTTACCTGGGATTAAGGGAGTCCTGAGGTGTAGACTTTTGGTGCTGAAACCAGGAAAGTCCTGGACAAACCAAGATGAGTTGACCACTCTACTTGATTGGAGCCTTCTGTTTTTCTTCACAGGCTGGACTTGGGCAGGGCCTTGCAGCAGAGCCTCAAGAACGCTCGGTACAGCTCAAAACCCTCGGTGAGGAAATAGCAGCAAACACATATTTGCACCTCACAGCTTTATCAAGGCTGGCTCCCCTGAACGGTCAGTCTCCAGCACGAATAGGAGGCCCCGTGGAAGCACCATGTGAGGTAAAGCTTTGTCTGCCTCCTGACTGACTGCACTCTTTGCCTCTCAGGCCACAGCATCAGGGAAAGCTGGTTAGATGGAGTCAGTCTCCGAAAATCAGTCTGTGATCTGGTTTATTCACTTAAGACAGGGCCACTGTGTCAGCCGCGGCTGTGTGGTTCAGCGCCTTTGCGGAGAGGGCTGCTGCTGTCTGTCTCTGCTCCCTTGGCTGCCCAGAGGATGGAATGGAGAAGTACTCAGGCAGAAAGAAGGGTCAGCAGGGTGCCCCGTGCTCCCATCACTTCCTCCTTCAGAAGTTTTGTCATTCAGAGGTTTTGAATCAGGCAATAAGCAGTCGTTGTTGGCTAACTTTGGGCTTTTTTTTTCTTAAATGTCAAGTGCCTAATTTTAAAATATTTCTTGGTTTTATTTCTCCTCCTGGTCTATTTTGCTCCCAGCCCTTGGTTGCGTGGCAGTTGTTTCCTCCACCAGGCCTCTGCTTTCTGTTCTGCGGAGACCCAGCCTCTAGTTCATGCCCTGCACCTGGGGATGATTATGGGTTGAATAAAGAAGGGAGAAAAAGGGAGAATGGAGGAGGGAAGAATGCCAAGATCCCAGTCAGGCAAAACTGTCACATGGTACAAGTGCTCTTCAACATTCCCTTTCCTGCATGCATTCCTTTAAGCTTCACCCATCCTCCCCCTCCACACCCCTGCTGGGATTGACCATTTTCACGATCCACCCTTGTTCTCAACCACCACGGAAATGTCCTTCTTAGTGCCCGAACCAAGTTACTGATCAGATAAATTAATCCCTGCTAATGGGAGTTAAAGTCAGAAG